TCTCGTCTTTTGGGTCCCACGTGATCCTTTGCGGAGTTGAGAGAACCGATTGATAAAACGAGGACACCACACGCTTCCTCGACAGGGCCTTTGGTTTTTGGCGATTTTGGAGCCCCTGGATCCCTGGGTGTTCCGACAGCACTGGCGCTGCAACCGGGGAACGAGACTGGGGGAACAAGCGTTCCAGGTGTACGCCTCTCAGGTGACATCACTCCAAGAAGCTTGATGTCATCTCCTTGGATAGGGAGCCTGCAAGGAACCCTGGTATTTTCGTCCTGAATTTCTGATGATTCCTATAAAAAGGTCAACTTATGTGTGCACCTCGCCAGGTATGCTAGATGTAACCATGTGCAGTATGCTGTATACACGTTCCAACAAGGACATGATAGTTTACGGAATCAGCGCTATGAGAACATTTGGCAAGCTGTGTTTTTCCGATACAGGCAGTTTGTTCAAATTGCTTACCTCCGTGATTCCAGATAGAATCCTGTGCTGTTCTTTTTTGGCTAGGGGTGCTTCCCAGAATCTTTTTAGGGTGGTTTTCCTTTGTTACTGGATTTCGGTTGGGCTGTGCCCTGGAATCGATACGTTGTCTTCCGCTAAATCCAGGTTTCGTCAGTGTGGTTCCTCTCGTTTAGGGTCTTTTCCCTTTGCTGCCAGGTGATTTCGGTGCTTTCAAGTTTGGGTTCGCCTGTTGCACCAATCCAAGTCGTGTACGTTGTTTTTGTTAGAGACGACACCCACAACCACCGGTCACTCACGGCTTCTTTCTCGAGGACATGGGCATCTCCATCCGCGTGGCCTCGCCCAAGCTGATCATGGAAGAAGCGCCCGAGAGCTGCTCGATGATAACCCGTGCTTCCACTACAACAGCCAACCAGGGCTTACCTCTAGGTTGATGGCTTTGCCGTAGCTACAGTGGTGATAGTGGTGACTGAAAATGGGGTAAGAGACCAAACAGCTGAAATGGAAACAAAAGTGAAGATCATGTTCTGGACAAGTGCACAACTAGAATGGCCAAAATCTTTAGAACGGGATTGTGGTGTAGTTCAAAACCATATTAAATCATTATCATTGGATAATGGTGCGTGTGGTTATTTAGCCCCTGTATTGCGCGCAGGCGATCCAGACTGTCTATGTACCCGGTCTTGTGTACCTCTACTCCCGAATCCCGTGCTTCCGCTTTGGAAGTATCCTAAAATAGTCTCAGGTTTGTTTCGGGGAACTTACAAATCGGAAACCTGGATTGACCGGGTGGGTCAGGGGTGGTACACCGGGTACACAACCAGCGAAAAACGCCGGCACATAAATGTGATCCCGGTCTTCTGTTAGGACGATGTCGCTGGAGACCCTAGGCTTGGGGAGGTCTGACTCATTGTCACTGCAGGTCGCTGGTTGATGTGTTGTTTTTGCCAGCCGCCAGCCATGTCAAGTCGGGAATCCGAATCACTTTATGCCAGATCGACCTACCACTCATTTGCTGACGCATATTCCATTCAGGTACTCTCCATTCAGGTACTTCCCCCCCAGCGCAGACCGGACATGCGAAGTCAGTGCTTTTTGTTTGAAGGCAAGGCTTCATCGCTGTGTTGGATCATAGCCTCTTATAACAGCCGTAAGCCAAACTACCTCCAAAACAGAGGGGAGCATAGAATGAAGACGCGTTCAGTTGTGGCTTTGCCGGCACGAGGCTACAAGGACGTCACCCAAGTGGTGCAAACTTGCGTCAGCCTCAACTCGGGAGGGTCCAGCTCCATAGTTGCCCTCTCTTGTAGATGGGCGGGAGTCTCGCGTTGAAATATGACTTTTGGGCCAATTTCCGTGTGACTTCCGGTGACTTCTCGGAGCCCTCTAGCCCTGTTCCCGAGTGTGTGCCTGGCCTCACACCACACCACCGCGAGCCTTTTGAATCAACTCAAGGACGAACATGGCAAGGTCGCAGTTGGAATGTGCCTGGTCCAGACCTAGGTCGCGGGGAAACATGGGTTGAAGCAGAGGGCCGGTTCAGGCGTTCACACTGCGGCAAGGTTGAAGATAAAGTTTGTCGCAAATGGGATGAAGATCCCCACTAGTGTGCTTAATGTGTGTTTTCCCTTGGATTTTCTCTAATACATCCCCGAAGAGGTGCCCTCAAAACAGAACACCCAGATCTAATTCGCTGCTAAGTGGGTCTGGTTGAAATTTGTTGGTCGTTTAAGCAGCCAAAGCCAGAAGGTAAGCAGAGGGTCGAACAATTAGATAGGTTCGGGGGTTGGAAGAACCGGATTCGATCGAGATGGACACTACTCGTGTTGCTGGGTTTTCCCATGTGTTGCTTCTAAGACTTCTAACCCTGAGGAGCCCGCCTCTTGCATATTCTTCTCTAGAATGCGCGGCGCAGGCTTCAAACGCAGCCAGCTGCTGGCCGCAACAGCCAACAGAGAGGTGCTTCTAAGCTCTGCGATACGCTAGCAGGAAAGGTATGCTTGGCGTATCCTAGATGGGAGTAGCAATGCCTGGTTCTGTTGCAGAGTCTGTTTTGGTTAGACACATTCACGGCATAGTCCACGTGACTCCATACCACAGGCAACTGGCTACACTGTCACACATCCCTAGAGGGGGGAGAATATTCAGCTACATTGCTTTCCGATGAAGCATGTTCCGCCAGTCGTATGTGGGTCTTCTAAGAAGCAATCTCACAGTGTGCACTGAGCAAGCAAACGTGTTGCTTATTTTGTGGGGAGCCCAACTTGGGGACAAAACAAGCTCGCTATGCTGTAGGTCCTTTGTGAGGTGGTTCTTCCTTCAGACTCTTCCCCCCATGGGCGGCCCTTTCTCAGAGGGCTTTCATTAAACAGGATACCCCACAGCGTGTTCCTTGTAGTTTAGCCAAAAAAAGACGAAAGTACCCTGAAACAGGCTTCATGCCTCATGAACGGATGTTCTTTGTTCTGCGTTTCGCCTGTTTTCGCAGCTGCTTGCCGAGCGCCAAGAGTGGAGGCTCTGCAATACTTCGGGCTTTGAACCCGCCGAACCGAATCCGCCGAACAGAAAACCGAACCGAGGCCACGACGCAGGGATCTCGAAGAAGGCCATCAAGCTGAAGCCGGTGGCAGTGGTGAAGGGATGAGACTTCTCGAGTTGACGGAAGGAAACAAACCAAAAGCACAGAGGATGTTCCAATGTGTTAGTTTTATCCTTGTTCCATTCCAAATTGCATGTTTGTGGGTTCCTTCCGTTGATCTGCTGGCGGCTTGATGCAGAAGGCGCGGCTTCGCGCTCTCGGTTTCCCGGTCGGCTGGCGGGCGGGAGAGGGGGCCGATGTTGAGGTTTGACACCCGCGGGGTGTAGACGGATGGGTTTCGTGTCGGCGTTTATTTGGAAAAGATTGGGGCGAACTTGGGAGACGATGCAAGGTGTATGCTTGGTTCAGGTTTTGTTGGACAGGTGGGCTGTGTTTCTGGTCTCCAGGCGGGTGTGTTCTCGAGGCGGGGAATCTGTTGCTTACTTGCAACCAAAGCGAAGCACGGTCAACTTCAGAAAGCCTTCGCCGTGTTTGCTTTGGTCATGCCAGGCCACGGATCAGTTCAGAGCAAAGCAGCAGAACCCAGTGAGCCACTCAAATAGCAGCTCACGAGCGTCAAGCTTTACAAGCAACCGCCAAGCTTGGATGGGCAAATCAGATCGCGGGCATCACAAAGGCATATGTTTTGCGACCAAGTTGCAGCCTAAGAGCTCTTCGGATCGCAGGAAACGTGCTTCTGAGAAAGAGCTCCGGAAGTTTGCTAAACACCCAGAAAGCACTAGCGATTTTGCCTCCCAATGTCCTGGATAGCGTCCTTGAGCTTGTTTCTTTGAGTGTGCAATTGCGCAAGGAATATAGTTTAGAACAGATAGCCGTTTACGCAGTAGTTTTTTCACAGGAGTTGATTTACTCTGTTTGGCCGAATGGCGGCTTCCATGCATTGGTCGCTGGGTATTCGATTTGTGTTCCTATGACGTTCTTGCACGGCCTCATATTTATAAGAGATCAGAGCTGGAAAGCAAATGGAGTATTTCAGCACAATGGTCCGCAGAAATACGGTTGATGATGGCCAGCTTGACTCGAAACAATGAGGGCCAGGTAGTGTATTTCAGGGCGATCCAAGCCGCAAAGTCTGGCACAGTTATGCATGAGTTCGCGGGAGTTTTGACAGCCTTGGCCAGGCCACTTGAACAGCTACCTTAGTCTGACCGCTTTAATGGAGCATTGCGAGCTTCAACCAGACCACGAAACGTTATCGCGGCAAGAAAAGCGGTCGCCTGCGCAGTGTAGCTTGGTCTGAGCAAGTGCCAACCGGTCTTGGCCTGGCCCCCTTCCACCAGTCAAGGAAGTGGCTGATCCAACATCCCGGTTGGGAGGGTTTCATGCAAGCAGGTGACAGTTTTGGTGCCATGCTCTTTGGGGCATTCGGTTCACCGGTTGCTTCTCTGATGTTCAGAACATTCCCTTCAATTTTAACTCAGGGAACTGACCAGTTCAACAGGTAAGAACGGATTCCGATCCTTACCCATGGACAATCATGTGTATCCTGGAGCCCATTTCTTACCCATTCAAAACGATTACCCAATGAATTGACGAAGGTCTGCCACTTAGCGATTGCAGGGCATTTCTGATGAGGTTCAGGGTTTATAGTCGCAGCATCCCTTTGTTTGTTAGTTGGACCTTCCTCCCTAAATTTGCCTATACGGTGAGGGGTAAAATCGATAAATCAAACTCACCACCATTGAGGGGGTTTATTTGGGAATCCCTTAATATATTTTGTTTGGCCAACACAAATGCGGTTGAATGATGGCACATGTTTAGTCCTGGCAACAAACCCGTCACGCAAAGGTGGTCAACGGCGAATTTCGTTTGGCGGCTCGGGCTCTGAGACCTTTGATTGGAGCGGGACAGGGGCAGATTTATTGTCAAGTATTCAAGGTCCACTTGTTGCTTTCGTGTTTGACTTAAGCACTCTGAGAGGAGCTGAAAGCGTTGAGACGACCTGTCCCTAGAATCGACGATTTCGCCATGGCAACGATGGCGAAGAGAAGTCAAGGACCTGAGCGCCAGGTTGTTTTTTTCAGGGCGTATGAGCTTCAAACCTTCTTTGGGACCGGCCCCCAAAAGGCACTGAATTGCACCACAAATGGTACCGAAAGGTGCGAAACGGGGCCCGCAGCAAGGCTTGGCAACTGTATAGATCTCCACTGTGGGTGTGCGTGTGTGCATGTGTGTACATGTGTGTGTGTGTGTGTGCATGTGTGTGTGTGTGTGTGTGCGCGTGCGTGCGTGCGTGTGTGTCTGTGCCTCTGTGCCTCTGTGTCTCTGTGTCTCTGTGTCTTTGTGTCTTTGTGTCTCTGTGCCTCCGTGTCTGTGTGTCTGTTCTGCGTGTCTGTGTGTCTATGTGTCTGTGTGTCTGTGTGTCGGTGTGTCTGTGTGTGTCTGTGTGTCTGTGTGTCTGTGTGTCTGTGTGTCTGTGTGTCTGTCTGTCTGTCTGTCTGTCTGTCTGTCTGTCTGTCTGTCTGTCTGTCTGTCTGTCTGTCTGTCTGTCTGTCTGTCTGTCTGTCTGTCTGTCTGTCTGTCTGTCTGTCTGTCTGTCTGTCTGTCTGTCTGTCTGTCTGTCTGTCTGTCTGTCTGTCTGTCTGTCTGTCTGTCTGTCTGTTGTCTGTCTGTCTGTCTGTCTGTCTGTCTGTCTGTCTGTCTGTCTGTCTGTCTGTCTGTCTGTCTGTCTGTCTGTCTGTCTGTCTGTCTGTCTGTCTGTCTGTGTGTCTGTGTGTCTGTGTGTCTGTGTGTCTGTGTGTCTGTCTGTCTGTCTGTCTGTGTGTCTGTGTGTCTGTGTGTCTGTGTGTTTGTGTGTCTGTGTGTTCTTGTGTTCTTGTGTTCTTGTGTTCTCGTGTTTGTTTGTTTGTTTGTTTATTTATTTCTTTCTTTCTTTCTTTCTTTCTTTGTTTGTTTGTTTGTTTGTTTGTTTGTTTGTTTGTGTGTTGTGTTCTTGAGTTCTTGTGTTCTCGTGTTTGTGTGTTTGTGTGTTTGTGTGTTTGTGTGTTTGTGTGTGCCATCTAGTAGTGGCGGACAATAGTTTCTTGCGGGCTCGTGCAGCCCAAGCAGCCGGCCAGGAACCATTTGGTGTGTTTGAAGACATGGGTCCCCAAAACACAAACCAAAAAGGGTGCCCTCAAGTTTCTCGAACTTGTTTCATCATGGTTTAGTGCGCTTCTGTATGCACTTTTTATGTCAAACTTTTGAAATTCTCATGGGGTAATCTAGCTATCCTTCAGGGGGGCTAAAATCATTTCGCGGGGGTCGTGGAGACTTCATCTTGATTTGAATACCTTGAGATAATGCCTTTACTGTGATGATTGGCGAACTATCCCGCTATGAAGAAAAACATGAGAGAACCTCCTGGAAACAATGTGATTTCTTTCAGTGAGTGCCACGCTGATTGGTCAGCGCCCAAATGAAAATGTCCCTTGCAGGACCGGTGTGCGAAGACACCGAGTGCATCATTTGCTTTGAGACTCTTGAGGGCAGGCCGGATGGGCACCGAAAGTACTGCCAGGCGTGTTGGTTGGTTGCACAATTTGTTTCAACCGTCCAAGGGGAAACCCAAACAAGGTTGTTCAGACAATAGCACTTGAAGCAACCTGGCAAAAAGGTTTGGGGACCCCCTGCAGATGTTTGTCATAGGGTTTCCTTTTCAACGCAACCAAGAAAAGGAGAGGCTTTACACGCGCACACACAAAAAGCAGCACCCTGGCAGGGACACTTCTCTTGAGCTCTGTGCTTGCTGGACTACACATTTGTTCATCGCTCCGATGTTTCACCAACCGGTCCCGTGTATTTAACCTGTCGGTGGTTTCGAGTTTCGAGCATCGCTTGTTGCAAAGCCCAACTCAAGGCGGATTGCATTTTGTTTGGACGCGTTTTGTAAGGTTGGACATGCAGTTGAACCGTCAGTTGGACCCCTGTGAAATTGCACCATCGAGCTGGACCATCGGGTTATACCAAGGTTGCTCTGCACCGCTGAATGCACTGGTGTGATGCTGGTGTGATGGCATCTCGGACATGCAATGTACCAGTCAACCACCGGATTTCTGCGAATATTTCCAGGCTTGGCTGTGGGTTGTTCGTGCGGGGGTTTCCTGGCGGTTGGTGATGTGAAAAGGTACCCCCTGAAAGTGGTTGCCGATCATCTTCAAGTTTGTTCAGGTTGGGCCCTGTGTTTTTGCCACTGCCTGCCATGTCTCGTGACCTCTCCTATCGAATATCAGAGGTTTTTGAATAGGCATTCCCCAGACCAGTGGCTCCTTTTACATCAACCACTAAAGCACAACATTTTTGGAGAGCTTCCTTTTAAGATCGACAATCAGAATTGGGTGCTTTTCCGATTGCCACTTAGGCAAGATATTCTTGTGGCTGCATCGATGTGTTCAGTCCGTTGGGGCCGCATGTTGCGGAAAAGTCAAACCGTGACCAAAATATGTTGGTTTGCGACTGATTTGGTGCCCCATGATTGCATTCCTGGTGAATCACTGTACCCAGTTGGGGCTTTCTGATTTCAGCCAGAAAAAAATGCTACCCGGTGCAACAAGGAATCTCAATCGTATCTCCTTGGAAGTTGCAAGCTTCCCAGAAGCGGGCTCACCCATGAAGGTATTCACGTTGGGGGGGTTCCTTTCTTATGACTTGTGAATTGTGTCTTGATGAGTAGAGCCAGACTGATTATCCTCTCACATCCCCTTGCCAATCATAGTGAACAGGAAAGTTTAACTTAAGAGGAAGGTCTCCCCTGTCCACTTCCGCGATTGCCGGAAAGGCCCAAAACTTGTTGGTGTCTAAACCCTAAAAAAGATTCCAAAGCAGAGCGCAAAGGAGCGCCGAACCTCATTATCACACAGACACCTTCCCTCCCATGTGTGTGTGTGTGTGTGCGTGTGTGTCTAAAAAGCCACATCATATATACGAAGTGAATATATGCACATACAAACTGTATCCAGAAATAGACAGACTGGTCCCGCTTTGTCCCAAACCGACGAAAGCGTCAAGTGCCGCACGATTTCAGGGGCGGTGCCGTGGGGGGTCTCAGATGTTGGCCTGCCCCGGGAGAGCTGACTTGAATGAGCCAAGTGTGTGCTTTTTTGTTGAAGGGAACACTCTCCCAAATAGTTGATGATGGACAATCCCAATGATTTCCGCCAAAGGGTTTCTAAGTCAAACATGTGAGCAGATGGATAGAATGAGGAAATAAATGGTGAGAAGTTTTTATTTGGGTGGGGTGTCCCCGGCTGTCTTTTTTGCAAAACACCGGCCTCCCTCCCTTTTCGGGTGGTTCAAGCATCGGGTTCCAATTGGCCAATTATTCTTGAATGGTTCCTTCTGGCATGATACAAGGAACCCAGTTTATGTTTTTTTTTTTCATGGGTTCCTGTTTTTGGGTGCGACTCACATGGACAAACATGGTTGGTGGCCATGAAAGAGAGACAGAGCGATCGAACTATGGCATGGAACCCTGAATCCCAACATGTTCCCAAAAAGTGCAAACGTCACCGTGTTTGTTCGATGTCCACCTAGCAGATCCATTTCCAATTGAAGATAATGGGCGCTTGGAAGGCTCAAACCTGTTTCTTTGGCTGGTTGGCTTTGCCCATGGTTGGTCTTAGACGGGAAACCGTGCCAAGTTGGGGATCCATGTCCAATTCCAATGGGACAACCGTAAGGGTCGCACGGGAACTGTGCCCCCCAGGAGTTTTGACCACTCATGAGCCGCCCCAGTTTGGTTTTACAAGGAAAAAAGGCCATTCCAAGCCTTCACCTATGCGGGGGGCTATCATGTCCAATATGCCGGAAGTGGACGGCTTCATCTCCAAGGTGTCGCTGCCCTGCAACTGCAAAGTGGCATATTGCCATCAATGCTGCGACCTGAGTGGGTGAAGGGGCGAAGGGTCAAGGGGTCATGTTGGAGTATTGGCCAAGGCAGAGGTCTAAACAGGACAAAATGCGGAACTGGCTTGCCGGCTCAAAACGGGTGGCCTAAACCAGCCCACAGTTCTGGGTCTCCCATTTGGGAGATGCACCCCAGTGCCGGCTCCTTTTCTTCTAACACGCAAACGGGTGTCTCTAAGTTTAGACAGCACCATGGATTTGAGACCGATGCGTTGGAGACATGCGTATTTGAGACGTGGGTGATGGGAATAAATCTGCAGCCGCGTGATGCCCACCAAAGAGAGACCAATATGTTCCGCGGCTACGCACACGATGTTTGCCACCATTCGCAATGGGTATTCCGAGTAATCTGTTTTGCTGGGCAATCGTTCGAGGAACAATCTACTTGGAACTTCAAACTCATGACCCTTTCGCAGAAAAAAAAAGCGGGCGGTGAACATGTTGTGGATCTCAAGATACCTTTGGAGGTGGATGGGCAGCGCCGCCGCAAGGGTCGCTTAGAAGAGATAGAGGGAAAGAAAGAAAGAAAGAAAGCACGAAAGAACGAAAGAGAGAAAGAAAGAGACGGGGAGAGCGAGTCACTTCATTGGACCGTGCCCAGTAAACTTTAAGCCAATGAACCGGATGATTCCTATGCGGCTTGCGAGTAAGTCATGGGCTTGGGATCCGAAGTTTCCAAGGGGAAACACACAGCACTGGCAACCGGGGTAGCCCGGGTAAACCAAGCCCCAAAGGTTCGCAAAAGATAAATTTTGGGGAAGTGTTCTTCAACTGTTTTGTCTGGTTCGAACTTGCCATGGGCGTCTTTTTGTAGCAATCCCCTGCAGTTTTGTTGGGTTTTCAGGGGAACCCAACAGGGAAACCACATTTTTTGGTAAATCCCTTTATGTGTTTGCGACACACACCCGCAAAACCCGAGTTTTTGCTTGAGTGCCGATGTGAGGCTGGGACAGATCCTTGGCGGCCAGCATGTCCAGCTGCGGTGCGCCTGGCACGGCTCCATCCCTTCACTGGTGGTTCGCATGAAAGTTTTCTCGGGGCAGGCTTTCTCAGGGGTCCGATTTGGTTGGCCTGGTGGACGTTCTGAATGCAAAAGTGTTTACCTGCTTCAAGATCCCCGCTGTAAGATGTCGCCTGCTTGAGGGTTTTGCCCTAAATGTAAGGCGTGCTCACTCTGTGTGTCAGGGCTTAACTCTTTCGTTCAAGGGTGTTCCATCATTTTGAAGAGGCACTCTCATGTTCGAGAATGGCTACGCTCATGTTGAAGATGTTGCTCTTTTGTTCGAGGGTGTTTCCTAAGTTTGAGGATGTTCTACTTTGGTTCACATTGGGCTATGCTGGTGACTGGTTTCCCCTAGTAAGCCATACGTGCCAGTCAACAAACTAAGCAACTTGTGGTTTATGCAAGGCAGGTCCTCGCATCCGCGCAAACTATTTGCATAACGGTGCACCAAGTCTTCTGCAAAGGCAGGCAGGCAACAACCATATGAAAGACAATGTCCACAGACATGCAGGGACACGCACACACCAGCGGGAACGGCCCTAGTTGGCCTGTTCAAATCCCCAAAGGGGGATTTAGGGAATCCAGGACGAATATCCTGATGCGTTTGCTCAAACATCGGACTGATGGAAAACTATGCCTCAGGCAAGCATAACTTGGAGGAAACCAGGTGTTTTCTTCCGTGAAAGGTGGTTTTCCCTTGGTTACCCAGTGCCTAAAGGGAATTAGGCTTGCCTGAAGGATACCTGCTGCTCATGTTGAGTATCACATTGTATCTAATGTTGGAATGGTGGTTTCCGTTTACCCATTCTGTTGGGCTTAGAATCCATAGGGATGGCTTGCCTGGAAGCACTGGGCCCTCAGCTTCATCTAGCTGTTTCTGAGTGGATAATCAACAGTGGTTTTGGGAATGAACCGTTGGAATCCCTGAAAGGAAGTTCGATGGTTCAGTTTGGGGTGATTCCCTCCCTGGAGAGCTAGCAAGAGATTAGGGAACCATAGGCAAGCCACTCAGATCAGAAGGCTCCTCAACCACTCAGGCCATCAACTTATCCCGACCAGCAAGTTATGTGAAGTGTTCCGGAATTTAGAATCTAGAATTTTGCGTCCAGGGGAAGCCTTCAAGGCTTGGGTAAAGAATGCCGCAGGACCTATGGAAGCAGTGGATCATATCTGAGGATGTGGGGAGTTGTTGGATCATTTTGCTGAATCCTCTTTGACCAAACACGAAACCTTCTGGGGTGGTTGGGTCCATAGAATCGTTCAAGAAGAGTTTGGATGAACCCAATTTGGAGCCCAATGCCGGGCACCTTCAAGAAAAGAACAGGAATGCGAGCTTGATTCTCATTGTCAGTTTTCTGTCAGAGTTAGACCCGTTTCCCTGATTGCCATTTCCTGACCAATCCCGCTTCCGCTTCACACCTTTATTTCAAGGGAGTCACTGGAAATCTCTTCAGAATCGCTTCCCCGGAATGCTCCCATTTGCTAAATATGTTTACTTTCCCTGGTGTTCAAGGGAATCACTGGAAAGATCTGCAAATGAAAAGTCAGATTCCTGCGTGGGGGGCGACTCTTTCCCCCCCGAAACAACCGGGCAAAAAACAAACACGGAGCCCACGTGCGCAGGGGCCGCGCTCTGCCCCAGCTGCCGGAGCTCCATGCAGGCGAGGGCTTCCCGAGCGCTTCCCGCTGTCTCTCACAGTAAGCCACGACCACAGAAAGGGCCTCTTCCTAGCCTGTCACTCAGGGTCAAGGTACAAGTAAGGGGCCTGGCCCTAGCCTTTCATTCGGAGTCAAGGTCCCAAGCAGTAGACATTCTCTAGGTCTTTTCGGAAAGTGAGACATGGGGGTGAAAGGAGACCATGAGTTGCCAACTATGGTGCACAGGGCCCACCTGAAACGCGGCATTTGCAACGCACTCGCGGCCCTAATGGCCAAGCCGCAGTCGACATCAGAAGTTCCTTGATGTTTGGTTTCAACAGCAACCCTGGCTCTATTTGATGAGCCAAAAGCCAGCGACAAAAACAACTTGGCGACTTGCGGTATGTCTTTGGAACTTGGCACTGCGGCATCTGGCGTTTGTGTCCAAAAAGTCCATTCACTGCGAATAGCTGGTGGCTCATTTGGGTGCTGTTTTTTTGTGGGCTTGGTTTTTGAAGGAAAATCAAAAGGAACGCGGGGCCCCACTTTGCTGTTTGGCAGCACCATATCCCAGAAAGGCAAACCGACTCTGCTTGTCCATGCCTGGCCTCAACGAATTGGTCACCCATAGGCTGCCCATAGCCTCCTTCGGTTGAGCAAACTCCTCAGGTTGGGCCAGTTGGGCCATGGTTTCCCTTGAGTTGATGGGCCATGGTTATTGCTAGGGCCACAAATCGTGTAAACACATACCGAAGTGTATTGTCTTGACCAGTGTATGATTTGCACTCGGCGAATATCATCGTGTATATCGACTGAAAACTCTCAAAGCTCTTGCTGTTGCTGGATTTACATCTATGAGACTCTCATAACACGCGTGAGGGGTTGGATGCGCTTGTGTCCGATTGGTGTCTCATGCTCTTAGCATTGGCAAGAAATGTCAGCAATGACCTGCCAAGCTGCGGGGCCCAAGACGTACAAACTGAGATCGCTCTTAGTCACGAAACCCCAACTCCAACTTGCTCAAACCCAGGATAGCATTGCCAGTGCTTTCAGTGACCGCTGAACACTTTACCTGCCTTTTCCTTTTGTGGCGTGCTGCGTTGTGGAGCACAGGCTGTTGCTTTCACGAAATCCCCTTGATGTCATGTGAACGCTTCCGCAGACTCCACGATGTTTTGGTTGTAGATTCGAGGCTGAGCCAGTCCAGTACACTCGCGGGAAAATAGCTAGCTGGGGCACGTGCCCCAATCTAACCCCTGTGCCCGGATGCTCTGAGAGGTTGACACCCCCCGTTTAAGAAACTGGGCACATCCCCAGGACCATGTGGTCGTCCCACTTTCACTCTCAACTGGCCTGACTTTGGTAGCTCACTGCCTTGCGGTTTCCAAGCTTGCAGGCACATGCGTTTTCACTTTGCCTGCCTTTGGGCTGTTGGTTGTTTTTACGCATATGTGCCCTGGTGCCGCCCTTGCACTTGGTAGAGAGGATGGCCATCGACCCCGGGGAATTTGAACAATCATTACTGGGTTCCTTGTAAGGGAAGCATGACCAGGGCTCGCTGGCGTCTTGATGTGTAGCTCAAAGGTAAGCATGTCAGGTGGAGAGTTGCTCAGTGCCCCAGCCTTAGGGGCCTAAGCCGCTGATTCTAACCCTCAGATCATTTGGGACTTGCTCAAGCGGCGCTTGGCAGCGCCATTGCCACCAACTCAGTCGGTTCTTCCCTTCTCCCCTTTTGATGCTGGTGGTTTTCCATCTGGAATCAGCCAACATGTGTTTGCTTGTTCAGTGGGCCCCTCCCTCATTCTGCTGTATTGTGGGTGAATATCCGATTTGAAATCAACCAACCTGTGTTCTTTTTGTGGGCCGCCCTTTAATCTCAACCGCTGAACTCAGCTACTTGTTCATCCACACGCGACACAAGCGCAGCCCAGGTGTTCAGCGGTTCCACTGCGTTTCCGTGCTATTGTTTCGTTTTTGCGCGAGGTGCCCCACTAAACTGATTAACCCCCAAACAGACCTCTTCTTCTCAGGGGTGTTCACCAAAAGTATCAACCCCGAAAAGAACTGGGTTTGCAATTCAATTGAGGACCCTTTGAACATTTGGGGGTTGTGTCCACTGACCACTTGTTTCACTTCCCCACTACAAGGATTGATCAGCCCCAAAACGACATGGCCCACTTTTTCCACCGTTCTGGTGAGCGGGTTGCCTTTGGCGGGGTCGGAAGCTCGCAGGTGGACTTTGATCCAGACAGCCGGCAGCTGACCTTCTCCCGATCGCAAGAGGGAGGCGGGCATTGATTCAGGAGCCAAGGTCTGGTGACGGTCCATTGGGGGCATGATATTGTTGGGGTCTAAATACCGCTGAAGCCAGCGGAGCCGGAGGGGTGGAGAATATAAGAACTCTAGTGTGGAGCAAGCTTCTTTTCCCCTTCTCTCTCTCTCTCTCTCTCTCTCTTTCTCGCTCGCTCTCTCTCTCTCTCTCTCTCTCTCGCTTTCCCGCGCTTTCTCTTTCTCTTTCTCCTTTCCTTTCTTCGCCTCTGTCTTTTCCTTTTTCTCTTTATCTCTTCATCCTTCTCTTCCTCCTCCACTTTCTCTTTCTTGTTCTCTTCGTCTCCTTCTCTCTCTCTCTCTTTCTCTCTGTCTTGTCTGTCCTTTCTCCTTCTCTCTCTCTCTCTCTATCTTTCTCTTCATCTTTATTTGTCTCTTCTTCTTTTTTGTTTCTCCTGTTCTCTTTCTCTTCCTCTTGGTTTCTTTATCTTTGTCTCTCCGTGAGCGCCCAAGGGAATCCCCTTGACAGTGATAAATCAGACATGAGTATGGGACTCAGCCACTTCATTGCACAAAGGGGCCCCCATCTCCACGAGTTTGCACCCAACTGGTGGCAACTCACGCTGTTTTTTGCTTTGTTCCT